TACACGACAAACATCGGAATAGAAAACAAAGTGAAGAAAAAGCGCGACTCCAGCTAAAGAGGAAAACTGAGCGGATTCAAACCGAGTAAAGGCGACAAGGCGGAGCAAAAGTGGTGGCCAAGTTGCTGGTGAAAAGGGTCGGCAAGCTGGCCAGCCTGGCGCTTGGTGCAGTGAAGAACCCCCGCAGGCAGGAAAAGCGTCGTTTTGGAGATTGACTCTGACCCCATGAAGATGGCGATCACAATGCTGCCCAAAAGCGTAAACGCGATGAGGAATCATTGAGAAAAATGCAACTGCTCGAGATTAAGTCAGCATGTGGCGACTAGTTGTCAACTGTTGAGGTCTAAGTTGTTTTTGAATACTTCAGATTCAGTGCTGTTGCCATTAATAACCTCTGCGGTCTTATCCTTCGGCTTCAAGTTTCAGTTTGCTCTTCTCTTAATGATTATTCATCTTCGCCCCATTTAAACAAAAACCATAGCCTCGAATATTCACTGCACTCCCAAACTATGCATACATGATGAATTGGAACCACAAACTGCATCAGGACTTTGCTCTTTTTTTTTCGTGAATGAATAAATGAATCAAAATATCGTACGAATATTTTTGTTGCAGAGCAACTACAGTCATTCTCAGTCCGGGCATTCCAATTTCTATAGGCTCCAATGCGAATATCATCCGCGTTCCATTTTCCCAACACCAAGAAAGATATTAGCGAGTCAGTGGGAGTACCCCTCGTCACCTCTAAAGAAGATTTTTACTATGCATTTCTAAGAAGGACGCTGTGGCTTCCCATTCCAGAAACTTTCAGTTCGTTTGATAAGGCTAACATAAACATTAACTTGTTTTTTATTGATGATGCCATTCAAGACACGCATTCTCATTTCCATTTCTATTGCAATCCTGTTCACAGTCAAGCGAGGGCCGCCCCTAATCATCGGGTACTTACTTACTTGGTGTTGGCTGCGAACAGTGGATTCTTCAATCGATGAAGTGACTTCCTGCTGTCGTGAGAGCACTAGAATCGGAAAAGTCATGATCTGACATGTAGAGACTGAGTGATACATTGGCTCCTCTGCTATGTGCCTGTGCATCTTCCAAGTCGGTGACTGAGCTTAGTACAAATATTTAGTCTAGTAGTTGTATTGTAGTAGGTATCGAGTGCACATCAGCATGTCTGATGAAGCTGAACTTTTGAATAGGCACGAACATGAGAGATCAGTGACGCGTACGACCGTAATAACGGAGACGAGGGAGCAACATTCATACTTTGTCGGAGAGATGAGTAGAGGACCCACAAGATAGGCTGGCGATATTAATAGTACAACAAAAAATATTGTGTCTTTTGAATCAATTTTTAGATTGAAGTAGGAGTAGTTCTTTCTTGTGTTTGAAACTCTATCCACCCAATATTAAAACAACATCTTCATCTTCGATCCATCAAGAATGCTAGAAACAACCACCACTGCTGCACTGTCCTCCGCAGCAACAGCATTGTCCTCTGTTCCCGGGCTCTCGTCTCGTACCGCAGCCGTATGCTGTAGTCGTTCTGCTTGCACGACAGGAGCTGTTGCCGCAAAAGTCCTGAGAGTGGGCACGTCTCCCGCGTCCTCCTCGACCTCTAGTACGCACCATGGAGACCTACAACTCAAGAATCCAGGACCCTGGACGACAAGCAGCCTGGGAACAAACCTTCTTCAGGGAAATTTGAACTCAAAGTCTACTCCGACTAGCAGTTTATTCAGATCTTCTGCAACCAGAGTGGTCTCCAACAACATCAACCAGCTTCAACATGACCATCAGCATCAGAGGAGTAGTGTCCTCTACCACCAACAGCAGGCAATGGCGAGTGGCGTCCTTTTCCACCAACAGAAGCAGCAACAGAACTACCAGAAGACAAGTAGCTGCTCAAGTAATTCATCAACGTACCTTCAGCTTCAACACCAGAGAACATTCGCAACCTGCTACTCATTGCTGAAGCGTAATCGTGTTCCATTCGTGGACTTCGAAACCGCCTATCCCAAAAATGCCAATCCTCTTCCGCCAGTGCAAGTTTTCACACCCTTCACTTTTACGAAACAGCGGAAACTCCTTAAGCTGCTGGAAGAATACCCCCAGACTACGTTTCGTTATGGTATAAAACTAGTCCTCGTTACTCATTTCGATTGCATTTTTTTCAGTGGAGCTACGTAATGAGTCTGAGCCTAGTACAGGCTAAAAAATTGCAATTGCTCTGCACCTCTTTATTTTCTCAAGAATGAGGAACCTACACTTCATCCTGTTCTGTTCAGAAAAGGTCTCCTTTTTTTCTTGATACTTTTCAGCTGCGTTCTATTTTTCGATAAGCCCAATTATTAGTATACATAGGATTCCTCTTCTCTATTTTGTTCGTACGAAAGCAATATCCTCTAATCCTTTGGTCGAGTGGTAAGACAACTATCTAGGCCGCATATCAAGCATGCTGGAAGAAACGTCGATGGCCAGATGCTTGTCAGGCATCGAGGTGGCGGTGCGCCTCGACGTATGCGACTTGTTGACTTTACGGTAGTGTGACTTACTTTTAAGGAAATCTATGAAGACTTACTTATCAACGACTTACGCTTACCTAAGAAAAGGGCTAGCGCTAGTGTAACTATAAGTCCTTGAATTACTCCACTACAATTTCGAACATTCACCTTTCATCTCTTAAATGATGTTAATGGTGGTGTGACAGCGTTTCAAACGATATAACACTAACAGGACCATTGTCAGACTATGAAGAAAGGAAAGAGTGTACTCATACTCAAGAAATTAGCTAGAACCTCCTGATGGCGAAAGTGCCTAATTTTCGGAGCAGGATGAGTACACTTTTTCTTGTCATAGTCTGACAATGGTCTTGTTTTATCGTTTGAAATGCAAATGCTTAGTACTATGCATGGTATAACGTTAGATCGACCACTTTTCTAAGTACTACAAGCGAGGAAGGAAAGACATTCCGGCAACAGTTTTGCGCATAGAGTACTGTCCCGGACGCTCAGCGCACGTAGCGTTGGTCCAATACGAGGATGGGGTATTCATTATAAGTACAATGTTGTATGAGCTTGGAGATATTGAGCTCGATGCAAGAGCGGTACTGGTGTCGTGGTAAGTTGGAGTACTAGTATTTTGTTTTGAAGACCGTCACGGCGTCGTTGAAGAATGATTCTAGAATGACCTAGTATGGTCGTTATGCCCATGTCGCTAATAGAAGGAAAGTGGTGTTCGGCATTTTATTAACGTGATCTACTTCACCTCCCTCATCTCCAGGTCGTCGCTAATAGAAGGAAAGTGG